GGAATTCATGCCAATAATTTGCCATCTCTGATATCCGTATTCTTGCCATTCTTACTTAAAATTATTTTGCATTCAGAAATTCGGGACTTCAATACGGATTTGATGCACGAGAAAATAGTGCATATTGGACGTGAAGAAGGGAGCAAGTTGCACGTGGGGAAAAAAACGCGCCTGATTTAAATGTCACACCTGAACGCTCACATCCTTTTAATTATGTTTAAAATCATGAACATTGCTCAACATCATGAAAATTAAACCTTATTTTCAATAAGCAATCCTGAAAAAGATTTGGGGGTGCTTAACTTTTTTCCAGGTGTATATTACAAGCAGGGTGTTTTAAAGGAATGAGTTGAATTTTTCGAACTTGGCAGTCTCTTTTGGAAAGTGCTTGTGGTTCGTGTGTCGTTTTTGAACATACAAGGTCAGTAACACATGGCTATTTTCATAATAGTCACCATTATTCAAATTTTGTTGTTGTATAAGTGCTCCGTACATGGAAAACATCTTCATTGTTGTAGAAAGAGTAAAATGGCAATTGTTACCTTAAAGATCTCTGACCTCTCTCTAAAGGATGAGAACTATTATTTGTAAAACAACCAAAGAAACTACCAATAGAATACAAACTTTCAATCAGCACATTTTTCGTTGTCTAATATTAATGGTTCTAATAGAGCGTTTATTTCATATTTCATATGATACAATAAGAAATAAATGTAACAATGCCCTGAAAAACGAATCTTCTCGATGTAATCGATTCTCCTGATTAAATGCAACACGTTTATGACAACTAGAACAAACTTAGATAACCAAGATCGGTTTACATAAACACACACAAAAAATTACCAAAGATGACAACTGGTACCCAAACGTTATGATTTGTTTTTAAAAAAGCTGTGTTATCTAAGAGAGAATGTAGATTTTAAAATTCTCAAAAAAACTTAAAGTAAAATATCTAAATGCTCTATTTCCCATGCAAGCAGATTCCGATATGCAATACTTAAAATTATATTATTTGATTAACATTATATTATTATTATTGCAACACCTTATAACTTGCTATTCTCCGAAATTATTAACAATTACCATTTCTTTTCCTAAGATAACTTAAGCACAATGTTGATCAATGGATGAGTTTTTATAAATATGCTGTAATACGACAGGGAGAATAAAACTGGTTCTACCATCGAACGGTACAAATGTTTTGACGCTAAATTATCATAGTTTGTGGCAAATACAATTTGTGCAATTTTTCAAGTTTCTCCGAAACAGGAGTTTTTTTTCATTCGAACCCCACTTACCCATTATTTTTATTTTGCTTTTCTATACATTATTAAAGAAAAAGTTATAAATCAATTGCTAGAGTTTACAGAAATAGTTTAACAAGTGAAAATGCTCCAAATATCATAATCACAGCGGTTATTGAAAGTCCAGTGGCTGCGTTGCATTTATCTTCAAAACAGTGGCAGACATTTGTGCGACTTCCATAACCTGCCCTATAGATGCAGTCTTTTTCATCGGTATGTATAGCACACTGGCGAATGATACGCTTGTTTGCAGTTTCTGAAAATAAAATATTAATTATTATTAGTAGTACAATGAATTTAATAGTAATCTTTAATATGGCTACGGTTTATAATGTTATGGAGGCGAATTTTACAAGGTCATTTTTGTTTAATTAATTTTCAAGATTTGTAAAAAACAGCAAAAACTTTCTATCTGGTTCAAAAGTGGTAACATTAATGTCACTAATCCTTTTGTTGTACATTAAATGCACCATGCAGACGATGAATTAGGTACAAAATACAAAACATATCCTCCTACATTATATAAAGAAAAAAAAACAGCATAAAATTGGTCATCCAATGTAGTTTATCTCCAATATCTCTAATCCTCATTTAGGTATACTAGATTTTGTTCACGGATTTCCAAAAGGAAGCATTCCAGCCAGACGTGTAACATTTATTAAAAATAATAATTTAAATATATTTAAAATTATAAATATATACTTATGGAAACTTTTCATAAAGGAAATATATCAATTACATTTTTACCAAAAACTGTTACAAGCATTACTTCTTCAATACCATCACTTCCTAACTGTATTGGTCAATCCTTTAACAATATAAACTGCACAAAAGATATAAGACTTAAAAGGGTAGGTTTTTATTGTATTTGACTTCACTTATTAACTAGAATTACTTACCATCTAACATATCAAAGTCGACCCACTGCTCTATCTTTCTACATCCGGTATACTTGGGCCCTTCCTTTAATTCACTGCAATTCGTAAGTTGAATACCAGATAAGTCTTCGCACCCATCGTTGTCTTTTGAATTACATTCATAGCATTGAATGGCAAAACCTGATAGAAATATACAGAGACGTGTATATAAAAGGTGTGGATACATAAATACACACACACACTAACACATAATAAAAACGTTGTAATACCTTAATGATATTAATTATCTCTACAATATGAAGAAAGAGACTTCTACTCTTCTTTTGGAAACTGCAAAATTAAAACACCATATGTCAACCATTTTTACTACATACATGTTCGAAATATTTTGTCACCAAGTCATCAAAAACTTTCTTTCACGTAACAAATGTAAATATACTTGCAAAGGATATCTGTGAGGACGCTGGGGTAGTTTTGGCAACTTGAATCTGTCTATTGCTATAAGTATGACATACAGATTTGCGTATGGATACAGCTATAAAGTTAACCATGGTATTATAGAAATGTGTACTTTGTTAGCCACAGAACTATTGCGCTCATGTTAAACAACAACAAAATGTTTGAGCTAAAAGTACCATTTGCAGTTGTATAAACGAAAAACTGCGAAAAGACACCATCCCCATTCAAATGTGAGGATATTTAATATTTCATAGTAAAGTATAAACTACAGAGATTCAGTATATTACACTTAGGCGATTTTTTAGTCTCACCGCATCGTAACAGTCCAAGACGCCACTTCCGGTCATGCTCTATCTGTAGACAGTGCATACTAACAATAGTTCTGTGTAGTTTCCATCGGAAAAATATCCGTCGTAACACTTAAATGTCCAAAGCATGCCACTCTTCCCTGCTGGCTTTCCAATAACATATCTAGTGTATGAAGATACATTCATCAGAACCCCTTTCAACAGTCCAGTTACACAGAAGTCCATAGTTGCTGCATGCAGAGACTTGACCAGCATGTCTCCATATGGAAACTCATGAATATCCATTTCATTCTCTAGCTTCTTGAGGTGCGCGACAGTTTTCTTGTGGAAATAACTTGTGTAGCTTTTCCAGAGGATATACAAGGCTGGGACACGACTTGTAGCAGGTCTCTTTTTGGATGATCCTGGATCTCAAAGTTGACCCATATTTTTTTCCTTTTCTTTTTTTTTTTACCAGTGCCATTAAGAACAAGGGATGTCCAGTCTTCGAAATTCAAAATTACCAATCTGAATATATCTATATGACCTAGTGTATAAATATTTTGTGTCAGAAAGTGCTATTTTATACCCTTCCCGATAACCATTAATTTTTCGGTAGCATCAAACTACCCAAAACCCGACAAACAATGCTAAAATGTAATTCTGATGGCTTGAGATGGCTGTGGTTGTCACGTGGCTTGCATACTAAAAATCGTTGTAATATAGCTTACCCAACAGTCTGACGTATTAATGACTTTGAATTTTGCCTAAAGCAGTAAATATACGTTTTTTGGTGTCGTTTTCATAAACTGAAGAATTAATAACAAATACAGTAGTAAATTAACTAGCATAGTTATGTTTATTGTAGAAACATATGTTTCGACAAAACCTTGGTCTGTCTTGTTCAGGGATTATTCTGAAATAAATTGGTTGATTTTATTTACTGTAACGTTTTTTTAAGATCTATAAATGTTGTAATAGGTTATCCTTCGCTTCTTTACACAACAAGAAATACGTTATTCACCAACAGTAAGTAAATGGAAATTGTTGCAAATACTCATAATGAGCCGTCAGAAACTTGGTGTGAAGAGTGCCTTCGGAGGGGTGATTCGCAGGACACGGAAAAGGTAAGAGCAGATTCACTGAATATGCACATAACAATAGACCACGAATAGCCTTCTGTATATACAACAGGCAAAAACTCTGTTGAAGCAGCATTTCTAGAGGATGACGTCACTGTGGTCAAAGTAAGCTGTTATCTCTATAGAGTCAGTGCAATCCATGCCATCTGATGAATTACGTTTCTTACGTACCAAAAGCCCCTTTTCACATTAAGCTTTATTCCAACAAATTAAGCTTTTATGATATATACATATTGTTGTAAGCTACATCTTTTAATGTTGTAACTTATTAGCTGAAGTGCACTGCAAGTCATAGTGATGACGTTAAGTTAGGTCAGGAAAGTTCTAAAGGCTTGACGTCAAAATTTCTAGAATATTCAAAGGTAGATTATAAATATGAAGCATTTAAGAATAGAGTAGTTTCTAGCTGGTTGAGTGAATTTGGGCGTTTCAGACGTGAAGTTATATAAGTAAATGAATTTTTTACGTTAGTGTCGTGTAATTGGTATCATTTGTAAATGTGGACTACAAATTCCACAGTATTCAAGCTTGTAAGAACGTTAAAGAAGAAATAAACTAACTTGGTATTGTTTACGTCGAGTGGACTTTGGATTATTTTCACCAGATGTTTTAAAAGAACCTGCCAATAGAATAGCATTTCAACAATATTTTAAAAATTTTAATCTTACTATAATGGACATAGCGTGTATGTGAGTATCAACGTATGTAACCAAACCTACAGAAAAGTCTTTAAACATCAACATATTGATAATATTGATGCAGAGATAAAATGTTAATTGTTTAAAGGCTTTTCTGTATTCTTAGAGTGTGTTTTAAACTTATAATAAGAGGATCGAAAAAAATCCATTCAAGATGGAAAAGCCAAAAAAGCAAACAGATGAAGATGAAAGGAGAGAGCGAGAAAGAAGGCAAAAAGAACAACAGGCTCAAAAATCTATCAAGCAAAAAGACAAGCTAAGAAAAATGTCGCAATATGTGAAGATGAAAAGAACTGCAGAATCGGAAAAGTAAAGACATATCCACAGTACTTAACAATTTTAGTGGAGTCAAAATAGGGATTTGCAGCCTGAGAAAATAATGTGGACACTGTACCCAGCCTGGTTTGTTTACTGTTTTTAGAGTCCCCAGTTGTAGGCTTGAAAATATAATATTTTTATTTTGATTGAACTTGTTTTTATACTTTCTTTGACGATCCATATTCCCCTTTTTAAATCAACAATTTTTAATTATCTTGTAACATTAACAGGTTTGGTGGATTGTTATTTATATTTCACCCCCCCCCCCCACACACACACACTATAAATTATAAAGCCATTTAATACATACTGGGAATTAAACACTATAAAACGTTAAAATAGTTTTCTCTCATTATTTTATGTTCACATGCAACATATTTAGCCATTAAAATTACGTTAAGTATTTTATCATCATTTTAACATACTTAGACATATATAGCAAGATTTTTTATAAAGAACATATTTCATGAT